GTGCACGCGGTGGAGGTGGAGCTTCGCACAAGTGCGTGAGGAGGCCGGGAGGGCTGCTGCACCTTCATGTGTTTGTTTACAGGAGTGTTTTAAATAAGGCTTATTGCTGAAGGCTCTTAGACAAACCAGGCTCTCGCAACGCAAGGCAGGCAGAGGCTCTGCGTTGACTTTTAACTGTATAAAATGCAAGACGCGGAGGGAATATATACTCTTGATGTCTGTAGGAATCAATAGTTGAAGATTTTTCATAGCGGTCTGCTTTGGGGCCTGTGTTACACAATGTACTCGTTCATCACTCGGGCACGGGCATGAGAGCTGATACAGTTTTATTCAAAATAGGGGATCTAAAGCTGACCGCCACAAATTGCGTAAGGATCACAGGACACAAGGGACCAAGGCATAAAATGGTAGAAATTAATTTCTGGTAAGTTAAAAGTAATGCACGGAGAAAGATAAACTGTGTATATACACACATATTCAGTGGTGGCACCTGTTCAGGAAACATCAGCTTAATGTTCAGTACAGATCAAAGAAGCAAGTGGAGCACAGGCAGTGATTAGAAATGGATGAGTGAGCAAAACAAGATGCCTGACTATATTAGTATATAGAGGACTCTATAAATTTAAAGCACAACCACTGTGTATGCATACCGCATGTGCTCTTCCTCCTAGAAATAGAGACAGAAGAGATTAGGCCTCCAAACTGGAAAAAGGATGACTGAGGTTATGACAGGAGTCTGAAAAACCATCAGTAGTTTGGGGATGAATAGGGACAAACTAATCATTACTTTGTATGATTCGGGAACAAGGAGGCACCCACTGAAGTGATCCAGCAGCAGATCTAGAAGAGGAAGAGATTTTTCACAACAAATTGCTAAATGGAGGAACTAACTGAAACATCTGTTGTGGAGGTTAAATTAATAAATCGTCTCACAAGGAGCCAGGGAAAGAGAGGGGGGCCCCTTCCCCATGTTGCAGCCCCTGCCTCCTGAATCCTGTGCCCACTCCACCCCTTCAGAGGTTGCCCACCTTGCATGCCAGGCAGCAGACACTCCACCATTCCCACTCAGGCTGCATCAAGGGAAGAAGCAGGACACCTTGCTGCCTGTTAAAGAAAAGCAGCACACCACCTGCCTGTCAGGCTTTCACAAGACAGCTCCATTCACATACTCTTTCTCCATAAAAGCTTTACTCAACTGGCTGGAGACAAGGTACTAAACTACGTGGATTTTTATCATGTCTGTTTTGCTGCCTGTGGATCACTGACATTTCTCAGCACCATGTGAGGCTGCTGCAGGACTTTTCATCCCTGACATTTCCAATGGGGTGCCTTTCTCCCTGCTCCCCTCCCACCGCAGCTCCCATATGGCTGTGCCTCTTCTCAGCAGGAGAGGATGTAATTCCTGGCACCCCCTGTTTTTGTCCATCTGATGCAGTGATCATCTGCCAAGCACCTCCAAGAGTCAGCTCACTTTGGTTTCCAAATGGAAGCAATGACTGTGCTAAAAGGCCAAAATCTGCGGGTTTTACTCGGTTTTCTTGTGTCATTTCTGCATGCATTTGGAACTAGCAAATCAGAGAGAGCAGAGAATGCTATCAAAGCAACAACAGCACATGCTGGTGTAAGGCGAGAGATTTTTATCTCTGTTACCTTTTTTTTTCAAACCGTAAATAATTTTGAACGGGCTGTTAAAGACAGAGAGGCAGCAGGGAGTCGGTGGTGAAGAGGAATTTAGGAATTTAAGGAGCGCCTGTAGCAGCCTTGTCTCCCTGCCTTATTTATGCTGCCTTCCTGTGTGGGTGCATGCCCACTAGGAACCCAGTGGGTAACACCTACTGGACAACTTCAACGAAACTTGCCATGGAAACACAGATCACAAGATGCTCAAAACCCAGGCAGATGAAAGAAGTTGCACTGGCTTTATAGTGTGAGCTAGGCTAAAGAAAGCTTTGGTATTACAGACCTTAGAGGATGACAGGGAATTTCTTTTGAAGTCCCTAGGAACCAGCATGTTTCCCAGCAGACATGGTCAAAGACTGCTCACCTCTGGGTTTTTTGGCCTGGGCAGGGCAGGAGTTGGGTGCTGTCATCCCACCGAGTCCCCGGGGAGGTAGAAGGACCAGAAAGTTGTCATCAAACTGTGAAAGCTGTGAAAGCCTGTTGGGAGGTCCTGGGCTTTTACTTTTCGGTGGCCACGGTCCTTAGCAGAGGGGAGGAGGGACAACTGATGCACCCTAAGAGAACAAAACCACCTGATCACTTCATCCATGGACTTGCATCCTGCGGGTGGGCAGCGCAGCTTGGCTGGACATGCTCAGTGGCCAGCATTGTCTTCCTGGCTTTACATGGCATAGCAGAAGAGTTTGGTGGTAATGTCACATTATAACCTCAGAGAAACACTAACTGGTGATAGCGGTCAAATGGTACAAAATGTTAGAAACCATTTGTCAGTATAGAATGGAGCTAAAGCTGGTTGTATATTTTAAAATATTGTTTTAGTTTCTGTTACATGTAATCTTAATATTGATTTTACTTAAACTGGTGGTTTGAAATAATTGCAACAACCCTGAAATTATTTTCCCTTCTGTTTTGGGTACACATGCTTTTGCACAGATTTTTTTTAATCTGGAAATTATGTTGTTGTTATGTTCTCAAAGACCAACAATATTATCTAACTACTGCTTCTGTTTATCTTAATTGAAACTAGATTTTTTTTTTTTTTTGGCCTGTAAAGGCTAGAGTTTTATAACCTCTTGTTTTCAGAAAAAAAGCTAACATTCCTTCCCCTTTGGTGAGGCACTATATATTGTGATCTCACGATACAAATACTCATCACTAGGAAAGATACAACTAATCACAAGAATAGCACCACCCAGAGAGAGTGCTTAAAATCCAAAACTAGCTAATGAAACCATGTCTTTAAAGCCACTCAACTTCCTGATGAAACACTGATTTTCTGAGTTTCATCAATGTTTTTTTCAGCATATTTCAAGAATAGATCGTAACTATTTGCAAGGTGTTCTTTCATTTGAAATCACTCTCAGAATAATTCCTGCGGAAAATTCCTGCTTGTACCTTGTTTGTGAGCAGCTCACAGGGAAGTGATAAAATATTTGGCATTTTAGACATTTGATGGGATAGAGAGGCCATGTAATATAGTTCTGACCCCTGCCTAGAACAGGCAAGGTCTCAGAATATATCTTTTCATGCAGATGTAATTATCAGCTGATAAACTCCCCTTCACTAATTATCCAGCCTGGTTAGATTACAGGAATTACCTTATATTTCAGGCTTTAAAGATAAAATTTAATAAAACCTTTTTTTTTTTTTTTTTTGTATTCTAACAAGCTTTAATAACAACTTTTGTTTGTATGCTAATGTGCTTCTACACCCTTGAGTGAAGGACATGATACCAAGGGACCACACTGTTATGTTTATTATCCACCTGGAAGGCACACACTGCACTAAGGAAGGAGTGCAGGCTTGGTGATGCTGAACTTCTCTGTCTGTCACCTTTCTGCTGGGGACTGAACTGCCATCGCGTGGACATTTTGCCAACTTGCACGTTCCCATAAACACAAAGAGCGAGAGAGATGTGGGAGCTGAACAGAGGAGCAGAGAGCTGGGAGCCATCAAATGGTGTGAAGTTACAAGGTGAATTTGAAAAATTGATGGGACGCAGGGTTTGTCCAAACTCCTGCTCTCTTTTGCTTGTCTTTTCATAGCTATTTAGGTTTGAAAACATTTACTGCTCTCTCTCTCTTGGTCCAGCATCGTATAGGCTGGAAGTGAGGACAGCAAAGAGAAGGCACAGCATAGACATTTCTTGTGCTGGGAAATGCCTTCTGCAGCATGCAGAGGGCTAGGTATCCTGGGACAGTCAGAATTTACCAATGAAACACATTTCTAAATAAAGAGCTTTTAATTTTATTGCTAAATGCCTCCATCTGTTGTGTGCTACTGGTTAAATGCACATGGTCATTAAATTGGTACCTCTCCTGGAGAATTTACAGTCTTAAGACTTCACTCCCTGCCTGAAGGCCCATATGGAACTAGTAGGGGTCTGGGACTAGCATGAGCACTGTACTTCATCCATCTCCAGCAGAAATGCAAACTTCAGGACTGGTTTTACTAGGCATCTCCTCTTTTCCCAGGTGGAAACACTGTCCAGGTGGAATCCACGGAGTGACTGCTGTTTAAGGATTTCATTCCTCCTGCCCAGCTCTAGCAGCTCTGCCACATGTGGGCAATCCCACTGGAAGCACTGTGTCCCACATATCCTTTGCGTCTGTATGCAGCGTGCCTTCACTTTCCTCCTTTTGATCACCTCATGTCACTACAATTTGATCATCATAGTCACTATATTGTGGCGATCATAGTCTCTAAATTGTGGAAAATAATGGTGCCTATTATAAAATAATGGTGCCTAAAATGTGGCTTTTAATAGTGCAAAAGATAAAGTTCTCTACTCCAAGGATTGTAAAGTTCAGGACAGAAAATGTATATTCTCAGGCTTTCTTGCTGCATGACTATAGCTCAGCTTAACATTGAATCTACCGTAGCCTGAGAATTCAGACAAATTCGTATTTCACATATCACACTGTAATGCCAGCAGACCATTATCCAGTGCAGAGCAACACCGGCAGAGGAATATAACTGGATTTCAAACTACTAATTGAAGTACACTTCCAAAACCTATCTTGTTCTTCTGATGGCCAGGTAATAATATCTGATCTCCCTCTTTTTTTACTATTATTGTGACAACCAGTGTGAAAAATGGTGAGGCAGATGAACTTATTTAAAGTAAGACTGTACAGAATTTTTCACCAAATATAAGAGAGACATTTACCTTAACCTCCCTTCACTTGAACAGTCAGTGATTGCTTCTCTGTTACTCGTCATTTGCAAGGTATGGGGAGATATTCGCTGCCGTGTGCTTATGGTTACATTCGTTCATACAGGAGCTCAAAGGAAAAAAAAAAATCAAACAAACATACTTTTATGTAAACATCTGATTATTTTTCTTACATAAACCAAATCGTAATATTATAACTAGTACTACAAAGTGTGGAGTTGAATTGTGTTACCAGCACAATTCAGTACATGACCCTGTTTTAAATCCAGTTACTAATAAAATTTAAAGGAAAATGTTCGTTCTGTTCAAAAGTTAGTACATAACTTTCCTCAGCATATGTGTACATATATAGAGAGATACAAAATGTAAAGCAATAGCCCAACTCTGCTGTTATTCATATCAGTGTAAATAATAATTGAATCCAGACAAGCCAAAGCTAGTAAGGGCAGTTATAATGGTTTTGGAAACAGAAAATGACCCATTATTTTAACATAATTAGCAAGGAATGGGAAATTGAAAAGTAGCATCAAGTTAATAACAAAAACTTGACCTTCTGTCTAATGCTGGGAAAATCAGCTCCCTGAGCGCAGAGTCCCAAGCCACAAAACCTGCTGGGGAAGACCAGGGTGGCTGCTGGGGCATGAGGGCTGGGGCTGGGTTGGGCTGGGCTGGGCTGGAGGACATCTGTGTGAGATGAGACTGCACAACAGCACGTTGTGTCATGTCACAAGCTATGGCGTGCAGGTAGAGGCAGATGAAAATCTGAAGTGAGAGCTTTCTTCCTCTCCCACCGCTCTTCCAAAACAAAACCTGGGGTGATGCAAGATCTTCTCAACCTGCCTATGTAGAACTGCAGATGCCCTGGAATACCTTCGCAGTTCAGGACTTTCCCCATCAACCTGTGCACGTCATGAGCCCCTGGGACCATGGCTCCCAAAACAGCCCTTGCTGCTTCCTCCAGAAACTCCTTTTCTTTCTAAGGTGTCTTTAAATGTCATACTGGAAAGGTAGGCACAGCACAAATTGTCTGCAATCTTGGTTTAAAGAATTGCTACATGCATAGGGATGAAATACATCGCAGTTTGCAACTCATCTGGCATGTTCCGAAAACCACAATGCACTGTACACTGTAAAAGTAAAGGGGAAAAAAGCACCGAGCAGTCCAAATACTAGTGATATACTCACTGTGTTAAAAAGCAGGTGCAAAAAGATGAAGCCATCATTTTGTCTCCTTATGCTTTTGGTCAGCTCCAAAGAGATTTTTATTTCTGTATCATCCAGAAAAACAAATTATCAAAAGGCCTATGTGGTCTTGCAATGGGAAGCTCAGTCCCTTAGAAAAAACAGCCACCTTGGGTTTAGATTTCACAAAGGCTTCATCTACACCAGTAAATTAACCAGGGTCATTTCTTGATTGTCAGGCCAACTGATCCTGACTCCTGACCTAGCCCAGGGTGATCTCTGAGGGTGCGGGTTAGCACAGGCCATAGGTGTGCTGGGGGCTGCTCTGAACGTTTAACAGCACAGCTCATTGCCTCCTGGTGCCAGGGAATGTTTCCTGATGCCCCTTCATTTACCAGGCAAAAATAAAATCCTTGATTTGCGGGTACTGACAACCAAATGCGCTCCAATCTTTTCTGGCTCTCCGGCATGACATCCTGACTCAATCAGGATAAAGCCTTTTGCTGTTTCGTTCTGCAGGGGGGGGTGGAAATAAGGTCACTCATGGGCAGCACTTGTACCTTGGCACCTTTCAAGGCCATCAGAGCCACCTCGCTCAAACTTGAGATGCACTGCTGTACTGCTGTCTCCTGTCCATGCCTGGTACATGTGGACAGGAAAACTCTGAGAAAAAGTAACTGCTCATAATAAATGAGCAGACCTAAACCCAGACATTTTGCCACAGGTTAAACTACACTGGATATAGGAGTTAACCACACCTTTGCAAAACAAAGTCTACAGTGGGCTTAGATGTTACTTATCCAACACTGCCAAATACAGGCCTTTGCAGTGATTTTCACCCGGAGTTGGTTGCCACCTGGTTCAGACACATACTGAGGTCCTGATCCTTGTCAGTCAATAATATTTTCTGGCATGGAATGGGCAAGTAATTGGCAAGATGGTTAATAATAACAAAAACAGTCCGAGGGTTTAGTCATTGCCAACAGCTAATGCCCCTGAAAAACAAGCTACTTGATGTCAGTGTTTACGACTGCTAGAGACTTATGTCCCTTAAAAATAACGTCTTTATTTACCACATAATTGTTAAGGAATGATTGACATTTCCATCGTAATGGCTTTTCTGACTACTACATTGCTCAAGGCAGCTCTACAGCTGCGCTTGTGCTACAGGGTAAAGTCTGGACATGTAAACCTTGGGAAAGTCAGCAGGTAAGGACAAGGCAGCAAGGTATGGACACACAGCAAATGGGCTTTTGGTCTTATTTGTTTACAGAGAAAAAACTATGAATTCTTAAAACATAAATTTGGAATGCAGTTATTAGATATCAAATGATGCTTAAATCTCTTTTCATACAGAAAAATGTCTGAAAGCATCTAAGGAGACCAATGCATCTCATGTGCCAAGCTGACCTTTTAAAGAGGTCTATTGGCATCTTTCCCAGAGGAAAAGCAGGCTTGGATTTGATATGTTGTGACTGGTTTTCTCCTCTGCACTGCTGAATTTCTATGTTGATATAACCAAACAGCACTGGGCTGAGCTCATGCACCGTGGGACAGATTTGCACTGGAGACGACCCCCCACTCCTCCCCAACCATGTTGATGCTAACAGGTTAAAGAAGAGGCAGGCTCTGCTCGGTTTTTGCTGTGCTGGGGCTGTGGGGTAGTAGTACGTGAGCTGATGTTCTCTGGCGATGCCGAGGCCCAACACGAAGGTATGACTGGTGAGAGGTGGGGGGAGAGGCTGGTAGGCGTGATGAAGGCAGGAGAAACACCACAGCAGCATGTGAAGTTGGACCCTACAGTGCCACCGCTGAGCTTTCTGAACTTGAGTCATGCCTTCAGTGTTATTTAATTACAGGCCACTGTGCTTAGTACTGTGATATATGTGCCTTGTGCTATTCATACCCTGCAACCTGACACAGAAAAGTTGGGTAGAGCCCAGAAGAGAACCACACAGGGGGTGTCCTCACAGCGTGCTCCAGCCAGGGCTCAGCACCCAGAAGGGTTTTGCCAGCATTTGAGTGAGCACCTCCACTGCAACACCCCACCTGTTTCACTATCTCTCCATTGCTTTGGCAGCAAGCTTTAAAGTTTTTCCCCAGATACTTGTGGGAGGATTTGGCTATTGGATGCCTTGAAAAGAACATGGTAAGTTCAAATAATTTCAGCTTGAGGATAATGTCTATACCACAGACTGCGACACAGCCTGGCAGTCCTTGGGCTGGCTGCTGGGTACCAGAAGCAGTCTAAGTGAAGAAAAGTGAAGCCCCTGAGCTCTGCACAGAGCTATGCTGCTTTGGAGGTAGGGAAAAAGAGGTAGCAAAGCTAGGTCTACACTCTTCCCTTAGCGATATGCTGGGTCCTCCACGTGATGACGCTGTGCTAACATAAGGACAAGAAAAATACGGAGGGAAAAATGCAGATGCTCCAATCTCAGTCACAGAGGTGAATCAGGAGAGAAGGCAATAAACCATACTGCTACTAGACAAAAGTCTGGGACTGCCACATAACACATACATAAGAGCAGTTGCACCGTGGTAATCAGCATTATTCTGGGCTATTTAAAGACCTTTATCCTGAATCAGCATCCAGGCAGTATACTGGCATGTTCAAATGTAGCAGCAGGGTTTATTAGTTTATCTGAAGCTTAATTTGTGTGACATCCTGATATATAAATGCATTTTAAAATGAAGAAAAAAGATATCAATAAGAATCCTGTTAAACACCAGATGATATGTTAGGTATTTAAATGCACATGTACTTCTGTGCTTTGAATAGTACAGACTCATTATTTAAATACCATGGAACTAGACTGACAAATACCAGGATTTAGAACAGATATGTTTTAAGCTTGGAAGGGAGCACGATGGTCAGAAATATCTTCCCAGCATCCTAACAGCATAATGAGCTGGCAGGCACATACACACATCCATGCGTACTGAGCTGGCACACACCTACTTGAATGTTTTCCCCACTTAGTGTAGGTTGGGAGAAAGGATACGGGGAGAAAAAACCACTTATTTGAAAGTCATATCTGCTGATAACTGTTTCCCCTGTGAAGCTGGCAGCACCCACATAATGCCAGCAGCAAACACTGGGGGTGTACGGCTCTGTGTTTGCCATCAGCCAAGCTCATGCCGAGGGCTGCTTCTTGTGGGCTGGCTTCCGTATGCCACCAGCGCCTGCCTGCCACTGAGGAATGGCCAGCCAGAGGCTGGTGGCAGTCACCACCAGCAATATCCAAGATGTAGGTAACCTCTGCTTATGCTCAGGAGGTTCAAATGGGCTAAAGCAGCTGTAGGGTAACTACTAGTTAAATTAGAAAAGCATACTTAAGTACCTGGAAAACGACAATGAAATTCACGTCCAGTTGGTCTATGGCAGACATCCTGGAATCATCTCAATTCCTTTAGAGTAACCTCTGTTGTACAGGTCTTTTTTCTACCCAGAATTTTTTAAGCATAACTATGACCAAGATTCTCCTTAAAATCTCACAGCTAGAGAGAGCTGAAATTTGGCTAAGGAGCCAAAAGAAGCGGAAGAGGAATTTGGAAGAAGAAAGATTAGATTTCCACTTTCTGTTTTCTTCCAGCCCTCTAATCCCATCAGCTCAACAGGTGCCAGCTCTTAACAGAATAATTTACAAAGGACTCTCTTGTTCCCCAAACATTTCGATGTGCCTGAAGTGAATTTCTACACTTCAAACAAATGCGTTTGCACCTTGACTGCAATGGGAAAAGCCTAATGACAGTCTGAGGCCTGACGGCATTTGTAGGCTTTCTAATGAAATGAGAGTAGCACTTTGCAAAAGGCACTTTAGACATCCGTTTGCCCCTTTATACTTCATAGGAAGCAGGGAAACAGTGCTATTTGTCTGATTCTCTGTTTTTGCATAGTGAAGGTGTTCTCTAATATCAAAAAGTATTTAATGGGTATAGCAGAAAGTTTAGGAAAAATATTTAAAATAAATTCATTTACTATATACATGAATGTTTTAGGATTAAGAGAACTCTGTCAACTTGAAATTGGGGAATTAAATATCCACAGTAAGAGCTTTAGATACAAGGTTTTGCTTGTGAACTTTTCTGGATGCACTAGTCATTTTACATTTGTTTCATTTTGTCTCACTCATGTTCTTGACTGAGCAGCAAGATAAAACCTATTCTGATTACACTGGGGAAAAAAATAACCAGGCAAAATGCAATCAAATGCAAAGAGACCACATGAGGAGAACATGTGTCTCCAATCACCACTCAGGTGAAAACCAGATTTCAGACAAAATGAGTTTGGGGTTTTTTTTTAATATCCTTTAAAAAGGGGTAAATATTACAGGATTATTACCCCGGTACAATTACTTCTTGTCTAGTCATTTACACCTGTGAAAACTGAACACAAAAACATGTGGCTTCACAATGTTTGGGAAAGTGGAGAAACAAGTACAAAGTATCTTCAGGGTTAAACTGGATAAGGATCTGGTTCATATAAAAAAGGCCAGAATTTCTTGTTATGTAGGCTAGTATAAACTGCAGAAATACTTCCCAGACAGTATGCTCTAACTTTTTCTAATTTATCTGATTTTGCTTATACACAGTTATCTTTGATAACCAACAGACTTATACCAATAAAAAAACATTACAGAAGAATACTTTTGCTTTAAACTAGTGCATGGGAAGTTAAAAAAAAAATTCTACTTTTGTATTCTGCAAAGGAAGGCACAGATTTACACATGCTTAGAAGCCACCACTCAGAGCTGCAGGTGGCAAAGCAAGACAAACAATGCAAACACTTCCATAAGAGCAAAAGATGGTTATTTGGGAATTTATTTTTCCGCAAAACATTGTGAAGCACAGCTGAGGAATGCTGTATTTCAAAAGGGGAAATGGCAACAGGATGTATCTCTCTTCTAATCTATAATGGCTGATGTTTGGGGTTTTCCTATTAAAAAACCCTATACAAATGCAGTCCCTGCTCATGACATACTCAAGGCACTGCTCCATTTTACTTTTTCTTTCCCGCCAAGGCAGACGCATGGGGATGAAGAAAACCGCAGGTTACTTTGAACAGATGCAGCATCCTCAAGGCAAAGCACACCCTCCTCAATACCGGTGTTGGTTCAGAAGGTTGGACAAGAAAGGGACGTGCTCCGAGTCCCTCAGCACCTTCCCCAGCTCCTCTGTCACCAGTCTGCCACCTCCTCCCGGCTGCACACCGCGCCGGCGTCCTCCTCGTGGGAACAGTTGTGTGTGCCGACATCAGCGTGGGCGCACTCCAGCAGCGTCTTCTCCTGCCCGGAGCACTGGACGTCATCCAGGAGAATGCGAAGGGAGGTCCCTTCCCCAAATTCTGCCTTCTTGCTGGCCCGCACCACGTAGGGGAAGCCCAGCTGGCGGCACACCACGGCAGCAGCGGGCAAGCTCCAGCCATCGTCGCACACCGTGCCCCACTCGCCATCGATGTAAACCTCCACCCGGCCCCAGCTCTGGCCGCGGCCCTGCTGCTCCACCAGCCTCACAGCGCCATTTTGCAGTGGCGGGGCCCGGCCGGGAGGTTTCTTCTTCCTGCGCTGTCCCCTCCTCTGTCCTCCCTTCCTGGGCTTGGGGGTCCTGCCGCCTGGCGTGGGGGTGGTGGGTGTACGGCTTCGGTTCCCCAGTGGCAGTGAGGCTTGGCCCACCCAGTTCACAGCCGGCGTGTGGGGGTCTGCTCTGCCTCCCCAGGGGGCCTGGGTTGTGGCCTTCAGCCGGGGACGCGACTTTGGTGCTTTCACAATAAGCTCTGTTCAGGAAAAAAAAACGTGAAACCATGAGTCTGCCACTCTGTGGACAATACTTAAAGACAACGATATGAAACCAGCGTCGATTTTTCACTTATTTAACTTGTTTCTTGGAATTTGCTTACTTGATCCTGTTGAGGAGCATCAACGCTCCCGGTGAGCCAATACTTCCTCGGTGAAAAATGTCGGCTGCTTTTAGTTAGCAGAGACAACTGCAGGGCTTAATGCCAACAAGCGAGCCTCTCCCAAGAAGGAAACTCCAAGCTGTTTATTGGCAAAGCTTCAGCCTGGCCATTAAAGGGCGGGAGCTGCAGTTTCATGGTCAGGAGTTCCCCACAGTACCCTTCTCCCCTGCTGAAAGCATTTTAAAGACAGGCACTATTTCTGCTCTTCTCTTCATTACTAATGACTGGATCGTTACCAGACCAAGAGTGCCGGCCTCCCCACTGGGCCAGATGCTTTATTCAGAGGAGCTGAAATCAGGAACATTCAAAATCAATTCTCTCTGGCAACTGGAATGTGCAAAAGGAATGAAGTTGCCAGGACAACACATAAAACAGGATTTGGGGTTGTGTTTTTTCTTCCTTATGAAAAAAATAAAAGAGTCTTGAGCTCTGAAGAGCTGAAAATTCTTTCCTGTCACAGTTTCCAGGCGTTACTGGACTTGCTTATTCACATGTGGTCTATTTTTAGCTTAAAAATAAGTTTTAGCTTGTCAGAAGGAAGCAATTCAGAATTGCTCAGAATAACAATCAGCTGAGCTGGGACAGTGTCACAGGCATATGCAAAGACATCACAACTTTTTAAATTATATCCTAGATTTGTCCATTCTCATTCATCATTTGCTTGGTAGTAGAGAGATGAGGAAAATATAACTGTCTTTTTTGTGCTTGATATCTATTGTCCCCAAAAGACAAACCCTTGCAATGGTCCAGTTTTTCCAAATAACACTCTTTGGAGAGGAATTGTATTTGTGGCATGAAAATGTTTCCCTTCTTTGGAAGCTGAAGTTCTGAAGACAAAAAATAGATATGAAAGCCTTATCTGTGCACACCTCAGTTGCTGGAGCCTCATCTGGCAAAGTATACTCGTATAATGATACAAAGGACTGCATGAAAGCTAATGGTCACCTGGGAGTGCTTTTCACCTCACTGAATCAAGTTGCTATCATATATTACTCTTCATCAAGCTATTTATTAAATACACTTCCAACGAATGCACTCATCTAACTAATGAAAGCTGCATGCCTTGGCGATTGTTACACTCACACTAAACACTAACCAAACCAGCAAAATATTTACAGCTACACATCCTTGTTTACATGCTTCTGAATCAAAACTTTCTTAGTTTTCACCTAAAAGTGAGTTTAGTTCTTAAGACACTTAGCAGAATCTTTCCCACCGTTTCTAGGTTTTAATCTATGATGAAAACTACCTCGTCAACAAACCCAAAAGATTTATTTATACGTATAGTTTAAAAATCTGAACTTTGGACTTGCATAGATTATAATGCATAAACAGAAGCAGAGACAAAATTGGTTGAACACAAACCAAGTTACTAATGTTTGGAAACTGCATGCACAGCTTGCAATCTAAAATGTTTCTGAAGATGTGCTGAATGCTCAGACATGTCAACAATTAATAATTAGCCTTAGATTTTGTTCCACCTTAAAGACTCAGTCTTGCAAGGTGCTGAGTGCCCTCATTCCTCCCTGAAGTCAAACCTGTAGGAACTGTCAATGACTCAAATGCAGTGAAACATGATTAATGTAATTAAAATTAAAGTATTCTGACATTAGACTTCTTACAGTAATACTAACTTCATGACAAAGTTGTTAGAGTACCGCCCTAAGTACTTACCTGTGTAAACAAAATGCACAGGGAAAAAGAAGGGTGATGCTGCCTAATTTTATTTTGAGATCCTAGTAGTTTATTTAGATTTTTACACTTAATATAGATAGTACTTAGCTTGCTGCAGATTCAGCTACATTGTTGACTACTCAAGCTTTAGCAGTACAATACTTCGTTCAGTATGAAGCAAACAAAAAGCCCTAGAGGGTTTGGATAAGCCAAAAGTTCACCTGAATGGCTGATCACTCTGATTCTTTTGGGAGTGTTTTCTCACCCCATATTTTCTCCCTTACAACTAACAGTGACTCAGCCCACATCTTGCTCAATGAACCATTTCCCAACTGTTTAGCCATCATATCCTTCGGCTTTTGAAGTGCTCATCACTACCTGAAGGCACTGCAAAAAAATCACTTATCACTGAAAAGCACCATTGAGCATAGGATCTCAGTACAGAAACAGTTACCGGGAAACCAAGTTGGTGGTAATGAAACAGGTATGATGTAGCATGGAAAAGGGAAAATGTACAGGGGCAGAAACTACAGAAAAGATTTCACATGGCCGGGTGAGGGGAAATACCTTAAGCCTTATTTGAATCAACTCTTGATCCAAAACAGCAGGTAAGAATTAATTTTGAGGATACTCTGAAGTTCTGGGTGGTCTCCAGGCATAAAGAGATAGTGGGAGCCTGGAGTTTGTATTTACTGCTAGCTAACATGCACCAATAATAAACAGCAACAGTGACACTTACTCTCCTTTGGCACAAACTGGATGCGCTTGCTTTTTAATTTCACCGGTGACGGCTCAACTCGGCATTTTCCTGGTGGTGCTCTTCTGCAAAAAAGGGACACATACAGTGCACAATTAATTCCTTTCCTCTAGCATCGTGAGGCTTTGCTTCCCATTTTTCCATTAATGTAATGCTCATTGGAAAAAAAATAAATGTCTGTTTAAACGATCCAAACCACAATATCTCTGTTGATCAAAGTCCATGTATTCACAAGGCAGTGGAGTCCTCTGGCTGTGTTTTCACTCGTGATTGCTGAATTCATTAAGGAAATAAAACACTGGCAGGTTCAAGCATTATAGAAAGAGATTAATCAAACTGAAAATAAAAATCAAAAGCTAGACCGTGTATGTTGAACATTTGACATAAAGGTCATGTGTATGCAAGTTTCCAAGCTGCCTTCAGAGAAGCAAAATAACACACTATTATTCATACATAGAGCCCAAACAAAAGACTAACGACTACAAAAGTAGTGCTAAAAATGCATTAGTTTCAAATAAGAGCTCTAAGTATCTCATGCAGAGGCTCCCTCTTAGCATGGCACATTATTTTGACACAAATTTGTTTGCCATGGAGGTATACCTCACTTCTGAGAAGGTACATTCAGTTCATCATCACTTTTTCCTATGACAGCTGCTTTGTTAATCTGTGGACTTCTTCAGGTTTTCAAACTGGTTCAAAAATGTGAGATGTTTGCATTTGGAAGTTATATTCCTTTGTAATTAGGATTGTTTGCATTTGCACTTCTGTGGAAGGCAAAGAGTTTCTCTTGCAACTACCTACACAGAGATGTTCCCTACTTTTATGAATTTTCCTGTGAGTTTTTTCTGTATTCTACACATGAAAGAAACTTCTTTTTAAGCTCAAACTTATGACTTGCTTTTGACTTCTGCTTTATTTTTGCAAAGGTTGCGTAATACCGGTTTCTTAATACACAGTTTACAGGAACTCTTCTACTGTGTTAGATAATGGAAAATGCTCCCGACAGAAGAGAGTCAGAGGAAAACACACAGCAGCTCTGGGGGCTGTTTAACTTTGGGGTCTGGTTCCAACATAAAACCAGAAGTGGTTTGGTTCAAAATTCTCAGATAGATAAAGCTGTAAATTTAATCTGTTTTTTAAAAAAATAAAAGCTACAGAAGTCTCACTCTGCATGTCTGGCTGAATGTAGTTTGATGTTTAGCCAGTAATAGTAACATTTAAAAAACAAGAAGATGGAAAAAAACAGCTATAAGCCTTCCCATAAAACACAGCAACTCCCTGCCTTGCCTGGTCTCAGAAGCATGCATGTGGGATCTAGGTGTAACAATGGACTTATTTCCTTGTCCAAGCCATTTTCCTCCTTGAAATACAAAAGAGAATGTACTTTTTGACACTAATTTCTGTTTTGCCTGAAAAAGCACTGCAGTTCATGCTGGGTCAGCTCTGGCTGCAGCTGTCTGGGCATGGGGCTTTTATGGGAGATGCCGCCAGCTACAAGGGATGGAGAGGAACCGAGAATAAGCACCTTGAGAAAAACTGCCTCTTTTGGGGCAGGAATCTAGAGAAACTTTGCCTGAGAAAGACAAGCCTTTCAAAATACTCCTTTAGCTTTCAGGAACAAATGTCCCAACCCTTGTAACACCAACAGGCCCCATAACAAGCTGGTGATCACCAGGCAGTGTAGACTCCCACGACTGCAGGAGCAAAGCAGCACCACAACGGGTGGCGCCAGTCATTCCTTGCTCAAGCTCCACGGAAAGGCCCAGCACAGGAGAAGGGCTAGTTTGTCAGCCAACATCACTCATCACAGCAACAGTTGGACACACTGCACCACACTCGGGCTTTGCAACAAGAACATCTCATACCTAGAGGTGTCCACCACTTTGTACACCACTCCATGGGGAGCCGTGGCGCTTGGTATGCCAGTAGACATGAAGTAAAGTTCCCCTGGGAAAACAAATGGACACTGCCATGAAAACTCTCCATGTCCTGTACAGCACAAACCTGCTTCACAGGTGAAAGAGCACCAGTAAACCCAGGACCAATGTGGAGATCTGGCTATTGGAGGAAACAAGGCAGGTTTGTATTTGGGTTTGTAGTGAGAGTTCATCTGCAGTTCAGTGGCATAAAATACTGTTAGTGAATGGGAGCTTTTACATATTGTCATAAAACATTATTTCGACAAATTGCCACTGGAGGTTCAGCTGCCCAGACTTTAGCTGCCATCTCAGTCTGATCTGTGCCCTTTACCTTCTCTAACACAAAACAGTAAAATATTGAATTCCCTTTGTCAACATGAATTTAAAGAAAATTAAGAATGTTCACATTGCCTCCTGCTCTTTTGGATGAAGCACTCCTTTGGGGTGAATTACAGAAGAACAAGGTTGTGCTTTAGCTTTCTCTAGTGTACTCACAAAGTGAGATGTATCTCACACGAAAGGCATCTGATTCATCACAGCTCTGTCAGGTCACATGGATAGGGCTCAGCCTTCAGCCAAACAATGTCCATCACCATTTATTTGACTTATTTTCTCTTAACTACATTTCCATCCTTCTCTTAGTTGTGCAGGTGAGGCCAGGATAAGCAATCCCTCTGGCACTCTCCTTTCTCTTTTGCCAGCTCAAGTGCTTGAGCAGCAGAATGAAAAGGATTGGAGAGAAAAAGTAAATATGCAGTATTCAAAAAAAAAAAAAAGGGGGGGGCAGGGGAGGGCAGGAAAAGAGACAACAGAGACCTGCTTAGTGAGTAAGGCAGATTTCTTTGGGCATCCTGTGGGTACCCCATGGGGAACAGGGGAAGGAGCAGAGGGGTCAGAGTGAGCGAAGGAAGGTGCAAGGCAGTTGGTGGGCTGACTGCTGAGCCTCCCTCCTCCTCCCTGCTCTCCTGTGCTGCCCTGGGCTGAGCTCCTCCGGATGCTCCCAGTGAAGAAACCAGCTGCCTCTGGCCACCCCTGGCTGGTTTCTTCCTTTTTTTTCCCTTTTCTTCACGCTGGGGGGAAGGGATGCCATTCAGAGGGGCCTTGACAGGCTTGAGAAGTGAGCCCTTGTAAACCTCATGAAGTTCAACAAGCCCATGTGCAAGGTGCTGCACGTGGGTTGGGTTGATCCCAACCACAAACACAGGCTGGGCAGAGAATGGACTGAGAGCAGCCCTGTGGAAACAGACTTGGGGGTATTAGTGGATGGAAAACTGCCTGTGAGCCAGCACCGTGCGCTTGCAGCCCAGAAACCACCCGTGTCCTGGGCTGCACCAAGGGAAGTGTGGCCAGCAGGGCCAGGGAGGGGATTGTCCCCCTCTGCTCTGGGGAGACCCCCCTGCAGTGCTGGGGCCAGCTCGGGGGTCCCCAACAGAGGATGGTGAGGCGCTGGCCCCGGGTGCCCAGAGCAGCTGTGGCTGCCCCCTCCCTGGAAGGGCTCAAGGCCAGGTTGGACGGGGCTGGGAGCCCCCTGGGCTGGGGGAAGGGGGCCCTGCCCGGGGCAGGGGGGTGGAACCAGATGATCTTTAAGGTCCCTTCCAACCCAAACCATTCTGTGATTTTTCTGGTGATCTCTAACTACAGGCCAGAAGCAGCTTTGATCCAAACAGGTATGGGAAACATCTGGCATTACATCTTGCAATGCAGTGACATGTGCTTTACATCCCATCCCTCTTTCCTGGAAATTATCAGGCAGAAATATGATTCCAAGGCCACGAAGCACACAGGCTATCACACCTGTGCCCCACAGACATAGCACAGTGCCTGAGGTGTCCCTGACACGTTCAGCTGCCAGGGGACAGGGGTGCTGGCTGTGCAGTGAGGCAAAAATATAGCTGTCCGCACCACATAAAAAGATCCACTGCACCAGCCGCATTAACATTCATCAGAGTGACAACCCCTAAAAGCAAATGCTTCCATGAAGAAAAGCTTGTTAAAATAAACTGTGATAAACTTGTAAAAACTGAGATTCCCAGCACACCAAAAAGGTGCAAGAGAAGGCTGTTCGCTGAAGATAAAGCAACCTCACTACACTGTTATCAACAGATTTCTTTCCATTATGATAAAGCAAACACAAGGCAAGTAACTACCTCTGAGAACAGACTCCAGCCCAAATTTCCACCCATCTCAGACTTCCACAAAGTATGTGTGAAAAGCACAGGGCAGAAGAAGGGCGTCTCACTCTGCTTTGCACAGACTCTGCCCAGAGGCGTGTGATGAGGGAAATGCTGGTCCTCATGTCCATGAGCAAGGGCTGCAGTTAATGGCTTGATACTGCTCTCAGCAGCCCTCTGAATTGGCATAAAGCTGATTTATACTACATCATTCTGGTTTTAAGGTAAGATATCCTTTGTGCCACAGCACTACAAAAAAGCTCTACCTTCCATGAACATTAATTATTTAAAGAAAATGGATTTTAACTCCAAAAAAGCTAAAATTCCAAAGTCAAACTTTTGAGCTAGTACTTAATATATATGATTCGCATTTACATAGTAAAATCTGCATGTATATGATATGCAACGCATGTTGCATTTGTGCAATATCCATGCCTGACATAATCTTTGGGAAAACCAGAAGTTTAAAAACTGGGACATTCTGGAAGCAGGTGCTTGTGACCATGAGCCAGAACCTCCCTGCAATGGGACAGAACACAAACTCCTGCATTGCCAAGTTGCACACAAGCCTACTTAGCAATGGGGCTGAACATTGCGGGGCTCATCCTCTCCCTGCCCTCAGTCACAAGCTGCACGCTCTCCTTGCCCCACCACAGGGCTGGGAAATTAACCATAACCTTGTACAAACAAAGGTAGCCACCACCAGCTCTCACCTAGGACTCTATTTCCTCCTTTTCAAATTGCAGTGGCTCCTTCCTAGGAAGAAAAATGTCTCTGGTCTTAAAACACAGCTATGCAAAGCTCCACTGAGACTACATCCTTCAGTCCTACGCAAGGCAAAATCCCAGCTGGCACTAATAAAATATGGACTACAAGCAGCCTTTTGCTGATGCCTTACTCAAGACATAACGTAGGGCTTTCATTCTGCTTCATCTCGAGAGGTACAAATATTCCAGGCCAGGGTGAGCAGGTTCATAATTACTGTTCATTACATCTGCTTCCCTGTAGCCATTAATAATGCCAAGAGCCGCCTCGGCTAGCCAAGAGCATAGACTTGCTTTCACTTGGGTATCAGCCTCTCAGGGCCTGCTTTCCCCACAGCGTAGCACCGTGAAGAATGAGGTTTCTTTTCTAAGCCGTTCTTTGTTGTATTTGCCGCCCCGCTTCTCCCCATCCCTCCAGAGGGTAGCCATGCAGGCAGCAGCACACCCAGCCTCAGTCCTGCAGGGAACTGCCTCTCCAATTCCTCCTGCAGGCACTGCGTGGCATGATGCCCTCAAAATTAGGATTGTCACTTTGGTTTGATATTTGGGAGATGCTGGGAGTCTTACCGACTGGCATTTTCCAGACTGAGAGACTTGTGTTCTGTGTCCCCACCACCCACTGCCCCCCAGGAGCCCTCCCTGACCCCTCCTCTGGTGTTTTACTCCGAAGAGAAACCACAAGCATGCCATTCAGTGTGACAAAGTGAAAAGATTACCTGCTTCATCTTCAGCAAAGGAGATGATGTATTGATAATAGTTATTGATAAGCCCAGGGAACATGCATGTTTGTCCAGTCCCCATGCAGATTTCACTGTACTGCCACTCTCTGGTAGCACGATCTTCCTTCAAAGACATCAGGCGTCTGCAAGACAAAAGAACACTTCCACAACACAACCAAGAAGTTGATTTATGAACATTAAGGAGGACACCTCCAAGGATGTTTAATGCTTCCTACGTGCATTAGCTGCAATAGGAACTGCAGCTCCTCTGAAAAACAAAGGATTGCTAATATTAAAACAAATATACGATACACTCCCATGACACCTTGTCTCTCAAGGGCAGCACAAACACATGAAAAAACAACTGAGGAGGGTTTAAGGATATCAGACTATTTCGGGGGGGACCCTGGCAGGGACGCAGAGTGCCTGGCTTCAACTCTGTGGCCTCTCCTGCACCCAGGACCGGGGCAGGGGCTGCATGAGACAGGCCTGGGAGATGCAGGTACAGCAAAGGCAGAGGAGGTGGGGGGAAAACAAGGCAATCTCGTGCCTGCCTCATCACAGGTTTGCAGCAGACTCATTGCTGGACAAAAATGTATTTTCTTTCAATATCTTTAGTGTCTGGAAACATTGCATCAGAGCGGTTTGGGGTTTTTTAGGACGTATTCAAATCCTTTTTTACATCACTTCCAGGACTTTAAATGAACATCATATCATTGCCCCTTTATTTGTGCTGGCACAATGTGAAACAGCCATCGAGGACTGCTGGAATGCAAAGACTGCATTCCTGCACAGCACCATGGTATAAAGGTTATATAAAACCTGCCACGCGAGCCCTCTGTAGTGAGCAGTCAGGCTTTGCGCAGTGCTTGCAACCAGCAAGCAGCAGCATGACCTCAGTTGTCAGACTGCACGAGCACTTGCAGGCAGGTGTAGTATCGCTGGAGGACTTTGGCGGGGGGTACAGATTAGCGAGTATCTGAAATATTTACTTACCCACTCATAAAATCACCAAATATGTACAGGCCACTCAAGTTTGGAGACTCGCAACCCCGATAGACATAGCCTCCCGTAACAGATTTCCCCATTTTGTGTGGATATGCATAAATTGGAAGCACATCATCTGTAGGGGAAAAAAGATCTGCGACTTGCCTTGTTTTACACATGATGCAGAATATCTGTTTATCTAGATAGTTCTGAGACTAGCATGACACAATCAGGTTCACTTGAGCATCTTCTCATTAAATGAAGTGCTGATGGAGTCACATTAGTTTGATATTCACCTTTTCAGAACCACGTTTGATAGCCCTGCCTAGCTGGCTGTGCTAACCACAGACAAGGTAGCTCAGTGAGACTGGGCAGTGTTTCACTTGCCATATAAGCTGAATCCCTGATAAGCCTGCATGCTTTCTATCACCCAGACACCTCACTGTTCTCCTGACCCCTTCTCCCGCTGCAACCCAGCTCTGTTAGTGCCACTTCTGGCCCGTTTATACACAGACCGTCCTTTTTTTGCCATGGATTTGCAGTTTACTTTGAGTCACTGCATCCATGCAGGAGATGTTTGTCCAAGGCAGCTTTGTTTCAGTGGTGAAAAGGAGAAAAAGAGATGGGTAACTCCAGACTGCAGGCACTGATGAAAAGGTATGTCAGATGTCAGCATGAATAGCTTCTGTATCTCTGAGACAGGGGAGCTTAACCTGAAAGGGCCATCAAGTATTTATGGTATGGCACAGGCAAGATGTAGTACTAACATAGTCATCGTAGAATGTAAGTTAAAAAAGAGAGGCAAAACAGAGGGAGATGCCTTGATTTTGAAGGTGTCCATTAGATGCTTCATCCCCTTTCTCTTGAAACATCTGGATCACAGGTATCTCCTTGTGGTACCCACCCCCCCTCACCCTCACAGCCTTTCTCCCTGCCTGTGTAGCAAATGCCTCAAGTAGCAAACCCAGCAGCTCTGCCAGTAGGGAACCTGCACCAGGGGTGTTTCATCTAAAACAGGTGTTTTCTACACCTCAGCTGCACTTTTCATTTTAAAGGGGCTGTGACATTTCACTGTTCTAACAAGAGTCTCTAAAGGCATCAGAAATTGTTCCAAATCCCTGGAGACCTCAGTAAAGTGTCTGTCATGAATGCTCACGCAGGCACTGTCACACAGGAGAGCACTAAAAGGGCTCTCTGACAACTGCTTCAGCAAAGGGAGTGCAAAAGATCTGCTCTACGCTCTCCAAAATTTTATAAAAAACAATCACTACCACTGTACTTGTAGCTAAGTTAAAAAAAGGAAGGAAGTTAAACAACACATAGCATGTAGAAGAGGAAAAAAAATCAGCAACTTAGCTAGTACAAATCAGTGCCAACCCATGGTCCCCCTGGATCTCTGGGGAGATGCTTCAGCACAAGATGTGGTCCACACCAGACCTGGCAACACAATACACTCTGACTTCACACACGCACTGGAATTTAGCCAGCCAAATACCTTGAATCCAGGTTGGAAAAGTTAATAAAAAAATAAAAATAAATTAATAAAAATGGTTCTCCTTTTTGGCATAGCTAAAAGAAACAAAAATACACTGTACATTCAGTTGCCTGCAAAGCAGGCACTGTGCATACTGCTTGACCAGTTTACACAATACATTCTCTTTTTTTTAAAATAAGGACAGTACTTGTGAGTTATAGAGAAAAATACAGTTGCTCCAAATCTTTCTTGCTTCTGCAGGAGAGCTTATTTTATGTGGAAGAGATGAAATTGTCCTCCTAAATCACAGAATCACCAAACAATTTGACTAACACCACAGATTGCCTAGAAAAACAACAGCTAGCATGTTCCATTTTCCTCCTTACTCAAAAACGGTAAAATTTAGACTTTCAATATTTACTCCCAAGTCAGTTCCCTTCTAGACTGAGACAGTATAGATTTACATCTCAAAAATGTATGTTTTCCACCAGGCAGCCAGGCTTTGAAGGCAGGAATTAAAAGTGATGGTGCAGAAAACTGCACAGTGGGAGATGCAGGTAATGTACAGAGCACATCTATTTACCCATTGAAGAATTGGTGCAAAGTTTCTTATCGTAACAGCTGAACCCTTCCCTCGCCCTCCAGCCGTAATTTTTCCCTTTCTCAACGATGTCGATTTCTTCATATTTATTCTGCCCCACGTCTCCACAGAAGAGCCGCCCTTTCCCTTCCTTGGTGTGAGGTTCACCCCTATCGAAAGAGCAGCGCCACATATTTCTCACTCCATATGCATAGATTTCGGGGCGAGCCTTAGGGTCGTTAAGAAAAGGGTTGTCAGGAGGGATTCGGTACAAAGGCCCACGGTCATTGTTGTTCACATCAATCCGCAGCACTTTGCCCAGCAGCGTTGATCTGTATTGGGAGAAGAAAGGAAAGAAAAAAAAAAAAAAAAAGAAATAAAACTAGACCTTGGTTAAACATCAGAGATGGAGTTTTTGTAAAGTCTAGGTTTTCATTCTTTCTGTTTTGGGAAAGACAAGTCTTCCAGTATCTCTGAGAAAACAACCATATCAAGACGATTTCATTTGCCTCGGGCCACCGAACAGACTTCCCGGGGCTGTGAGTCCCCACACCCCACTGCCCCGTGGGCGCACACGGGGGGCTCGGAGCTGCCCCAGGAATGGGTCCGCTCTTACTTGTTCTGGGCGTTGCCAAAGGTCCCAAAAGGATCCCCAGCCATGCCTCCGTCTCCAGTAAATATATACAGATACCCATCATCTCCAAAGAGCAGCTCTCCTCCATTATGGTTGGAAGCGGGTTCTTCTATTTCCAGGATTATCCTAAGTGAACACAGGGAGGAGGCATTACCTACTGCACAAGCCTGAAGCAAAGGGCAGAGCTATGGCATGCCAGTGTTGCCCCTGACACATGGAAACAGCGACAGGTCAGGTTTGATGCAAATTCCTCCATATCCAGGTTACTGAATTTTACTTGAGCATAGCTGATTTTTTAACCTTAAATAATTCCACCATATTTTCCAGATTACAGAAACACCAAACAGTGTAACAAGAAAAATCTGGGAAAACACGCTAGAATATAATTAGACTTTTCCTCTGATTCTTCTTTCCTCCTTGTTAAATTTTTTTTTTTTTTTTAAAAGAAAAGTCATCTTAGCTTAAATCTGGTTGTAAACTGCAAGAAAAAAAGACTCCAGTCCATTTATGCATCTGTACAGCATCTGGCACAATCCTGACAGGCACTTTCAAGGTGAACCCAAACCTTTTCAAATGTTAAGGAATAATTAAATTCTTAAAGGAGGAATAATCCTTATATGATAATTACATACATAGGACTTTGAGTTTATAAAGAGTGGTTAAAAGCAGCCCCACCAACAAATTAACATTTTGACAAAGGTTATTCAAAGCAGTAGCAACAAACTTTCCCTTAATTTTAAACCCAAACTCTTACTTTTATCTATTTATTTTATGCACCTGACATTCCTTTCATAGTAAGAAAAGGGTGAAATATATGAATTATAACTTCATAGAAAGGTAAAGCCACATATACATGCAGTGGAGGTTTCCAGATACAATAACTGAAGTTTAGTTTACTCCAGCTTCTAAGAAGGTCCAGGTTTCATGCTGACTGTGCCTCTTAGGAGCTGCAAAACCAAATTATAATAATCACTTATATCACATCCCTTTTAGCCAGTTTTTTTCCCTTCTGAAAGTACTGATGGTTACAATCGTGATCAGATTGTAAAAAGTGGAAGGGAACCCAACTATGCAATTACGGTCACCTGCTGCTGAACATCACCACCTGTGAGATAGGGTAACTGCAGGAGAGCACAGGCTCCAGCCGGCAGCAGGAGCAAGGGAGGATCCTGTACAGACCTAAAGGTGATTCCTCCTCAACATCTCAAATAAGATGGAAACAAAACAAAACACAATGAGCAAAAATCCGCAGACAGACAGAGATACGCCTTCCTGCTAAAGCAATGCGCACCATGTGTTGGCCAAACCTGCCTTTTGGGCAGCATCTCAAGATGAAGTCAGTGGGACCTGTGCCTACACAAGCACAACAGGACCACAATTTTGTTTTCTTAAGCTTTCACTGTACTAACCATCAGCTAAATAAGCACAAAAAATGTTACAAACATAGATCCTGAGGATTTTTAAACAAGACAGCTTGTGGGCCTTGATATATGCAGATTTAAGCTCCTGACTCGCTTTCCTGAGGTCCATGTTTAAATTCTCCTTACCTGTCATCTACAGGGCTGATTACACTGAATTGCTGCCATTGCTTTATAAACCAGCATCCCCTTTCTATTGTTAGGCTACATGGATTTTTGAGCTAGCATCATCCACTGCTGAGTATTCGGAAAGCCCTAATATAAACCATGCAACAAAGCAAAAATCTTAAAATTAGTAATATTCAAGGGTCTCTTAAAACAGTGGTTCTGTTACTTGGTTCTGCACCAGATTATAAATCTATAACTGGCTCCACAAACAAACCTCTAATTATCTGTGCACATTAATGTGGATCAGCTGCAGGATCAGACTCAAACAAATGAAATTTCCAATCAAATGCACTCAGTAATAGCACAGTGGTTTGCATTTTACTTAATTTGATACTAAATTTGTAATATCACAGGGTTGAGCTGTCATTCAGATAAAGAAGTGTGGGGCCAATTCCATCTTTGGTCCACTATCACTGAGTTGGTTTATATTGATTTTGGAAACCTTTGGCTTCAGAATGAATTTCACTCGTGCTTTGCAGAAGTCTGTTTTAAAGGGTAATCATTACAATACCAAAAAAAAAATCCAACCCCAAATTACTAATGGTAAATAATGTTTAATCAATGTTCTGTTAAATCTTCCGACATACCAGAACTGAGAAATTTGTTTTATCCCTGAGCACCTGCAGTTCATCCTCAGAGGACATGCGTATTCTCTATCTCAATATGCTAGACACGGACTTGAACTAACATGTTAACACACTGGAATGCAAGAACAATATTAAGCTAAATAAGTCTCATTCATTAATAGCCTTTAAAAATGTACAAGCTGCCCTCTGAGATCTTAAATACATTTGCCAGAGAAATGTGTGCACAGTACCTTTCAGAACCATGGTCCAAAGCATTCATGTCAGCAGGAGAAATTCTGAACTCACTGATTCGGATTCTCTCTTCATAACGGACTTCAACTGAATAGTAGACATACACTTTACCATTAAATTTGAATTTAGGATGGAAGACAATACCTAGAAAACCTCTCTCGTCTCCTTCCCAAGGTGAGGTAAGTACGGCTTTGCTGATGTTCAGAAATGGCTTTTCAAGCCTGGATCGATCGGGGAGGTAGGTCCACACCAGGCCAACCTGCTCTGCAATGAAGAACCTGTGGGTGCCATCGTTGGCGTGCACCATCGCTACGGGATTGCGCAGCCCGTTGGCGACCTCCACGAGGCAGAGCTGGAGACAACCCTCCGCGTCCGCAGTCACTAACCCCAGGTTTTGGTTAAGGTTCTGGTTAGCCAGCAGCTGTGGGAAGCAGTAGTCTGTGTCCTCCAAGGACAGGTAGTGGCAGAATTTTGCCATGTTGTTCTCCAGTGCCATTAACTCTTGGTCTGCAGAGAGATAGCGAAAAATGGAGCGGCATTTTTGCCACACTTGCAGGCAATAGTCTTGGCAAAGTCCGGGTATTGTCCGCACAGGGGTAGAGGGATCCTCGGCATCGTACAGGTGAGCTGCATATGGAGAGCATTCCTAGAGGGAGAGAGAAAAAGCCTCAAGCCACCTCTTGGACCAGATCTGTAACAGCTGAGCAGCAATACTAATTTGAGGAAATTCACCTTAATTACAATATGTGCTGTGATTTGTTCTGAAGATATATTAACAGAGGAAAAAGACCTTAGAAGGGGAGGTTTATCTCAGTGTCTTGGTTTGAGCCTGGTCAGCAGCTAAATACCATGCAGCTGCTCACCCACCCTCCCCCCACTTGGGAATGGGGAGAACACAGGGAGACTCGCGGGTTGAGATACAAACAGTTTAATAACAGTGAGAGAATAATACAATGACAGTATAAACAGGTAATGTACAATACAGTTGCTCACCACCCACCTGGCAATCCTGAACACAAAGACCCCGCAGACACACTCCCAGAAGCAGCAGCCCCTCCCAACTCACTCCTGCCTTTATATAGTGAGCATAACATCACATGACATGGGATATCAGCCAATCCGGGCCCAGCACTCCAGCTGTGCTCCCCTCGCCCCCGCGCACAGGCAAGGGCTCTCCAACCCGGAGAGCCTCTGGGATCTCAGTGTGCCCCAGCACTCCTCCAGCTACCAAAACAAACTATTCCAGCCCGAACCAGGACACTCAGCATTCGCAGAACCAATCTTCAATCTTCTTGGTGAAAGCTGACTTCCTCACACTATTATTCCTTTATTCCAACCACAGCACTAACTCAAGCAAGCCAGCAATGACACACATCTTGCTGTATCACCCTAGTAGACTGTACTGGGGAAAAAGAGACTTCTATCTTGGATGATCTGACTTCATCTATGAAATAATGAGTAGATTCATCATATCACAGAAACAAAACCAAAGAGTTAGCTGAGAAGATTCAGGTCTTGCATCTCTAAGTTGAGGAAGAAATAGGAAAGGTCAGCAGGGCCAAAGCCTGCAGCTTTTATACCTCTTGGTCTGATAATCCAGACACGCACCTCAAACACAGATGTGATTTACAGGCTGGAAGGAGCGGAATGAGAAGCTGTAGGAGGAGAGAAGACTCTCGTTGTTTGTACCACGCAGCACACCCAGCCCTGGGATGAGATCACTGCAAACACCATCCTCGCTCGGGTCCAGATGCCTTTGCTGGTGGATCTTTGCCTACAGACAGTTTATATACCTGACCAGAAGTGGTGAAAAGTATCTCGTGATCATGACACTGGTGACCAAGTGCCAGGGGGAGGCTCAGGCTACAGGATTTCAGACAGCGAGCGCTAAATGGCACCAATCCAGGCAGGGCCCACCAGGAGTGGATGCAGCACAACCCTCATTTATGGAAGGTGCAGCCTCAGAAATCTACCCAAGGACCGAATCAAGTTCACATAGTTCACTGTATGCTCCACTACAAGAACTCCGACAGGCACATTTTCCTCATGTAGGAAGCCACTGCAATCCAGCAAAACTGCCTGTAAATTACAAACTGACAAGAGTGACTCAGTTCTGCTTTGCAATGGCTTTTCCTTGTAATAAACACACAATATTTTCCGGTTGTAATGCATCTTCCCAACATGCATCTCAAGAGTGCTCTCCAAATAACATGACTCAGTGGAGGCTCAGTTATTTTCACAGGGCAAATAACTGAGGCAGGAAAGGTAGGACAGAAAACTATCCTTCTTGAATAAATTCTGTATTTTTTAATTCCTGGATGGCATTTCTTCTGAGCAAAACCAGCTTACTTTAAAAAAAAAATATATATATATAGGGAGCTGTTTCTAAATCTATAGGGAACTATTTCTTATTGCAGATTACAGCACTATTCAGTAGCTGAAAAGATGTAACATCCAATATGGAAGTATGTAAATTAGCTCATAAGTACACACAATATTTAATTTTTATTTTATTTTCCATTACATACCATAATAAACTGAGAGGCCATATAACAGATCATTAGTGTACAATAAGCTTTCCTCCTGGAACGTCAAGCCATTCATTGCAAAATGAAGGTTATTATGCCTTCAAATGAGCAGCAATTAATGTGGTAAAAAGGAGATTGTGCATGACACAAAACACTGAAATTACACAGGGAGATTGGGTAACGGCACATGGCACAGTTACACGAGGTGTGCCAGGGACAGAAAGAGTCTGAACATTTGCCCATGCAGTTGTTATGACTGAAAATTTGGCCTTAGAAAACAAATTAAAATGAGACAGAGAATTTGAAGGCAGGACTGGGTGGGAGCTCAGTCTGTTGCTGCCTGCAGAGGTTTCACATTCAGAGAGAGGAGGCACCCCCCCCGCCCAAGTACCAGGGTGTACCTGGTTCTCTCAGAGCCTCTTTCAAAGCAAGCAGTGATCTTTTTCATTATAAAGCAATGTCCTGGCTTCAGCATCGGAAATAAAAATAGCACAGAGGTATGGTATCCCTGTGTCTTTGCTGCTGCGGGCTCTTCACCCCAGCCTCAGGTGTGTTGGAATAGCAGTTGTGGGTGACTTCTTCACTCCTTACCGCGTTCCTGGTGGCATATGGCTATTTACAGTGGCATTACGCTGGCGATGATGTACAGAGATCTATCACTAGAAAGACAGTACCCAAGCATGTGGGTAAGGTATTTTCCACACGTATGTGGAATATTTTCCAACTTTTATTCCTCAAGAGATGGAGCCTGAGGCCTGACCCTGAATTTCCCCGCTTCTGAATCCAATGCTGTGGTCCTTCACCTTTCACATCGTCTTGTCACACTCACTTACTCAAAACACCAAGAAACTCTACACTTGGTTACAGCCCAGTATTACTGATAGATCTAAATTCTCATTTCCAAATGACATGGTCTGTTCATTCATTTTAAACTAAGATGTGGTCCAAAGACCAAGGAAACTAATGGGCAGATGATCAGTAACTTCAGTAGGGCTGGAACAAGCTCACACCATTAAAATAACTCATCAGAAAATAAAACAAGTAACACGAAGACAAGTAAGCCAAATCCATCCTATCTGTTCCAGGAACTCAGAGGCAGCTATTTATCTGAGTAATTGCAACAGCCTGAGTCTAGATGAACACCCACATCAAACAATAGCTTATTCACTGCTGCTATCAGCCCAGAGGAAGCAACAGGACTTCTTAGGAAAACATCTAACTTTCACATAATCCCTGCCATTCCCTGTCCACCTCCATCTGGAAACTCAAGCCTTTAAGTAAGATGTTCCCTGAGAAGCAGAACGAGGCATCTGTTCTCCTGCAGTTTGGAGTCCTGTATCCCACCACAAAATAATCCACATCCACACATGTCCCCTGAGGCCTGCTGCCCCCATTAAATTACCCCTGGTGGTCCGTGTACCCCTATCTGAGCTGGGCACCATTAAATTACCCCTGGGTGTTGAAGCTGTGGAGCAGGCAGGATCATGTCCCACCACAGCCCTCCTCCTTCCCACGGCCAAAGGCATCCTGTCAGCCTACTTCTAGGTGGGGGAAATGTATTTTGGGGCTAGGGGATCAAGGGCAGTACTGAAGGATGTTGCTGCTCTTCCACAAGGAACAGAAACAGCATCACATAGCAAATCACCATTTAAGAGAAGGTGGGAATCCTCACCACAAGCACATGCCGAGTCACTTGTCAAAATAACCTGATCATAGTTGAGATAAATCACGAATTGTGAGCAGGAGGAGACAGAAGTGTGCTAAGTATGTCACAGGAACCCACTTATTATTTCAAGTCTAGGATATAAATTGTATGTATAATAAAAGAATGGAAGCAGAGTGTTCTAGAGTGTTTGCAATGCCTGAACTTCCATTTCGTGCTTGCGTGGCCAGAGGTGGTGGTTTGTAGCCACATCTGGGCTGGTGATGCACTGAGCTCATCAGAACATTTCAGTGAGTCATTTTTCCCACATTGAAATATTTCACTGCTTCTGAACAAATTTTCATTGGTTGGGTTTCTGATGTATGCAGGAGACTTGGTTATCACTTCCAGAGGGGGAAAGAGCGCTTAGCGGGAACAGCTAACTGTTTTCCTATCTGCAAATGGACTTTTGGATACCGCTTGTTTCAGGAATGTATTCAAAGGTTTTTTGCTTCCAGTACCATGTGAGATGAAATAAAAGTCAAATCTCTAGAAGCCGATGTGGAAGAGGGTTGTCTTTCTCCTCACGCTTCCAGGAACACAAGAGGTACCCTGCAAAATGCTAAGAGCATGATTTCTGAAAAGCCACTTTGATCCCATCTGAGCGCAGCAGATGAGACTCCACTGTCTGAATTAATTTAAGATTTACACTTGCACAGCACAGAGCTGCCACTGCTCTGTCTCAAGGGCATTTTCATGCATACGAGGCCACCACTGATGATAGGATCAGACACTTTGCTCTGCGCAGACTGTGATCACCCTGTTATCCTATCTGGCCACAGAACATCAACCCTGAGTGGAAATTCCCCCTGTGCAGGATGGTCACCACAGGGGTTTCTAGGCCACATCCTTAGGCATTACTCTGCACCCATCATTGGGACTGTTAGCACCTGGCACATGTTAAAAGCATCTCAGGATGCTGTAACCCAGTACAAAAAAACAGCTGATCCCATGAGTTGGGCATAACAAGGAGCACATTTTGTGCAGGCAGGTCCCCTCCTGGGTGTCTTCACCAGGTCCAGTGATCTAACCCTGGGAGGGTGAAGGAAGTCTGCAAATTTTAACTGCCCACATACCCATCTCAGAGCACTGCTGCTCATAAATTAAAGCAGAGCAACATCCCTATTACTCTTACAGACACCTGCCAAAGGACAAAAATTCCGCAGGAACACCTGATGATGGACTATTGCCCCTCACAGTGCCTGGGAGCACATGCCTAGGCTTCTGCACTCATCTCTGATGCACCCATATGTGGGCCACTGCACCCATGCCTGTGCCCGGGCACTAATGCCATGGCTGATGCACCTGTGGGGTGGTCCGTGTACCCCTATCTGAGCTGGGCACAAACCCCATGGCTCACACACCCTGGGGTTCTCCAAAGCCCGAGTGCCTGTGCTGATACAGCCCTGCACAGGTGGATGCAGTCATTCCTGGGCTGATGTGCCCATGACATGCCTCATACACCTCTGTGAGGTCCAAACTACGCGTGCCTGCACCAATGCACCCACACGTGGACTGTGGCATCCATACCTGGGCTTGATACAGCCCTGTGTGTGCAAATGTACCCACACCTGGGCCAAAGCACTGTGACAAGCCTGCAGCACCGTGCAAGGGCTAAATCCCCCTGTGTGGCTGATGCCTGCTGTACAGCAGAAGCCCCCTGCACGGCCAAAGCCCCCTGCACGGCTGTGGCATCCTGTGCAGCCAAAGCCCCTTCTGTGGCTGACGCCTTCTGTGCAGTGGGAGCCCCCCCTGCGACTGATGCCCCCTGCACCACTGATGCCCTCTGCGCGGCTGATGCCCCCCACTGCAGTGGAAGCCCCCTGCACGGCCAAAGCCTCCTGCACAGCTGAGGCACCTTGTGCAGCCAAAGCCCCTTCTGTGGCTGGCGCCTTCTTTTCAGTGGAAGCCCCCTGCGCGGCTGAGTCCCCCGGTGCTGTAGATGCCCCCTGGGCAGTGGAAGCCCCCTGCGTGGCCAAAGCCCCCTGCGTGGCTGTGGCGCCTTGTGCAGCCAAAGCCCCCTGCGCGGCTGTGGCACCTTGTGCAGCCAAAGCCCCCTGCGTGGCTGAAGCCCCTCCGCGCAGCAGAAGCCCCCGGGCCCCCCCGGGGCAGGCGGGCCGGGCGGCCTCACCTGGCAGAGCAGGTCCTGCAGGTGCCCGGCGCAGGCGGCGTAGGTGGGCCCGTCGAGGCGGGCGCTGAGGCGGTAGAAGCGCTGGAGCAAGGCGCGGTCGCGGCGGGGGTCGCAGCAGCCGAAATCGGCGTAACGGCGGCAGAAGGCGAGGCCCCGCGGCGGCCGGAACGGCGGCTTGAAGTCCAGGCACTGCGGGTGCGGCCGCGCCGGCCCCGGGGCCAGCGCCGCCGCCAGCAGCAGCGCCAGCGCCGCCCGCGCCCCGCGCAGCCCCCGCATGGCAGCTCCGCGGGCGCGGGGGGGCGCGGCCCCGCGCAGCGCTGCTCCCCGGCGGAGGAAGGGAGGGGACCCACGCGGGGGGGTGGTCTCGGAGGGTCGGCCGGCCCCGCCGCCGCTCTCCCCCCCGCGGCAGAAGGGGCGCGGAGAGCGGCCGCCCCGAGCTCAGCGCCGGCCCCGGGCGCCGGGTCGGCCCCGCTGCGCTCCCCCGGGCCGCGCTCCCGGGGTGGTTTTGGACGGGCGGGTGTAGCTGGGGGGCGGGGGCGCGGTTTGGCGGGGGCGCGGGGGTCCCGCCGGAGCGTGTGACACCGGGCGCACCGCGCTGGGGACGCGGGCGGACTCCGCAAGCGTTGGCTGCAGGGCTCGGTTCTGCCGCCGAACCTTTTGTACGGCGAAAATAGGAGAGAGAATAGCACCCTGGGTTTATTCGGCCGAGGGGCATATTTAAAACCAAGAAAGCTTCTCGTCAGTACAACCAGTGCTTCTACGTCCCTTGGCATCCTTTGGCAATCTCTCCCTGGGATGAGATTCTGATTAGATTCAGCTCTGAGGCTGGAAAGCAGCGGTCTGCTGTGGTCTTTACACTGTCTGGCCCCAGGTAGCACAGGCGACAGATTCCCCCTCTGTGAAGATACTCCTCCCATTCAGGATGGTACTCCCTCCATGCTGTCCAGGAACTCCCCGCCCAAACAAAATAAAATTGCTGATGGTACTTTCCTTACCTTAAAGAGCCTCGTGGCATGCCCCGGGAAAATATTTACACCAAATGCTGGTTTTTTGCACATCATATATCATATGTGACATTATCAGCTAGTGAGATCAAGTCTCAAGTAGATGGCATTTTTTCGCTGTTCAATTCAGCCACAGTGTATTATGTATTTCAATATTAACAGACAGACTGCCCGTAAAAGACAAAGAATGCGGAGTTCATGCTGATAAGCTATTTTTGACTCCTGCCTTGAGACCAAAGAACTGCTGTATGGTGCATATGGACTGTAAAATCCCTGCGTGGCTTGGAGCATCCTGTCAGGAGACCATATGTGTTACAGCATTTAATACGAGTTTGTTTTTCTCTCCATATGCTTATGTAACTGCTGCTAAGGTCACTAAAAACTTTGCATATGTGCAGACAACCAGAATACCTGATGATCTCACTTGAGAATTCTCTGCCCTTTTATTTTTGGTCATTTAAAACCACTTTTTCATGGATAACCTCGGTAAGTACATTGGAAAGCACATGATCTAGCTGCTGCCCCTGAAAACTTTGCATGCCATGCAAAAAAAACGAGTATGCCATTATGCAATCCTATATTTGTGCAAAAACAGGCAATGTAAATGCATCTTCCTCTTCATCCCAGTTAATGTATTATTCCTGTGCTTAACACTGGCTGGTGTCTCAGCGGTTGTGATGATTTTTAACCATCATTAATTAGTATTGCAACAATACTTAATATACAAAGAATGGCTTGCAGTAACCAAACATTCTGTGAAAATGAGATTTATCCTATAGCCTCTTGATTAGTTTGGCATTCATGCAACATTTCAGAATGCTGTGCATATTTAGCAGTGAGCTGTAGAGCAAGAACTGTAGATTTGATCTGCTCATCACTGAACAATAAAATGCCTTTGGGAAGTCCTCTGTGTGCCTTTACAACACATGCTGCCATGCCAGAACTCCCAGTGTTTTGTTCATTCGGGCAGGGCAATTTTTTGGTTCCCCCTCGGGCCAGGGACTGCACATCAATTCACGAGCAAGGCACTGCCAAAATGGAGACCATAGCTGCCTCGGCCTTGGTAACAAGCTAGTTCTGTCAAGAATGGCCTGTTTTACTTCTTGCTGTGAGCTGTATTTCGAGGCTTCCCAGGCCACAAGCAGGAGCTCATGGGCCATGCTTGAGGGATCCCTGCTGTGCTGCCTGGAGACTTGCTGTGTGATCGTTCCCAAATTCCTATCTTTCTTCCTGGATTCTCCCATTTGTAAAATGAGGATAGTCCATGCTCACCCACCCAATGACAATCTTTCAAAGTGTAGTTTATTGATATTTTTAATTACTGCTTTGTAATTCTTTATGAGTTCTCTGCTGAGCCATCGCTCAACTAAGATCAGGAAGGGGAACTGTTCCCCTCGACCTGAAGTGCTAAAGTTAATGTTGCCCTTGTTGCTACCTGAGGGCAATAACATGCATCTGTAGAGCCATTATGGAATGAGGATGGGGTTTGATGTAGGCAGTTTCACCAAGATCATCGGGAGTTTGAGAACTTTCCGCTCAGGGGGTTTTGTATTAAAGTTACTAATTTTTAATTTGGATTATTTGAGCACTTGTCCTTGTGCTTAATGACCTGAATTCAATCAACTGAATATTTTGTGCTATATATCAGCTATTGAAAACATGTCTTTGTTCGTTTGTTTGTATTTTTTTTTTTTTTGCTAAGATTGCTCCTATTCCCGCCACAGTCCGTAGGAGTTTTACCAGTTGACTTCAATTAATTCTCAAAATCAGCATGTGTATTGATGGATGAAACTGAAAGAGCCAGGTGTGAAGATGCAGTATTTGCCTGCAAGCAACACAATATGAGGTCAGAAAAAGCTTACATTTAAAAAATGTCTATCAGTTTGGGGTATCAAACCTGAAATCATTAAGACAATTAAAGCGACTGATAGTTGTAGATACTCTGCAACTCAAAAAGACAGTCTTATATCCCTCAAGCTGGACTCCTTGAATGTGTAGCATCCACATTTTTTCACTCTTTCTGCATACGTTAGAATTTGTTACCATTCACAGGACAGAGGGAATGTGGGCACATTGCTTGTAAATATGATCAAATCACATTTGATCAAATGACCAAGGTTTGGCCCAGTGACTGCAACTCCATCCTCAAGGGCAGTTCGGATCAGCAGCGAGGAGTTTAATGCTCTAAGCTTTAACAGCCAAAATATGTACTGTTCCTGCCCAAGACAACTGTGGACACCATCCCTAAAAACATAACAGTCGGGAATTAAATACCGAGCTATAACTCATTGTAGGGGAAATTAGGCTTTGCTTTCTCATTATGCGTCTGATCGCAAAACCCTTCTGTTCCTCATTTGTCTTCTAAGTGTTTTATTTTCCTTACTGGCAGAGATATGAGAACAGATTATTATTATGAGAACAAAAGAAAGAAGATGTGTGTGTGCGTGCACACAGCATATACACACAGGCCCACAGATGTGAGCAAGGTAACGCCTGCCTTTCAGCGAACAGAAGCCACACTAGGCAGCGTGGAAGTGATCCGCTGGCATGGAGACTGCTCAGTCACACAGCTTTGAGCGTTCTACATGAACAACAGAAAACAAGCTATTAAGTCTTTGGAAAGATGGAGGAATAGTTTTACAGCACAGTCAAAACCAAACGGGCATCTTCTCGTTTAAGGTGATTTGTCAAGGAACACAAGTATATGCTGAGCGGTAGCTGAAGTCACACTGGCTGTGAGAGACCTACCGGCACATTTTGGTATTGAGGAAGTGTTTAATGCAAGAAACCCGAGGAGCCACCCCAGTGCAGGCGATACCACGTGCTATATGGAGAATATTGTCAGAGGATTCGATAAGCGGAAACCCTGCTGCCTCTAGACATGCTGGGATGGCTCAGATGTGGAATGAAGCGTACCACTGCAGCATCGAAGACCTAATTTCTCCTGGTAATGGAACCACGCGAGTCCTTCATATTCTTTAATCCTGTTGTGATGAAGCACCTCCTCCTGCTTCAGCAGTACCCTCTGGTGCACATTCCTGGGCTCTGTGTCATATGTCACAGCAAATGTTTGTACAAAACACTGGGGCAGCCCCACAGACAATGTAAATCAGCAGAGCTCAACCATAGCATATGATATCCAGGATTCTCAGATAGGTGGCACACTGATAAATGCTTTTCCTGTCCTTCTTATGCTCGTTTTAGAAACAAGCAGGATGTAAACGTCACATTTTTACAGCAATCAGACAACTCCCTCACTTCTTTTGCTTCACAACTTGCTACCATAGGAATTCTAGGCTCTAAAGAGACCATATGGGCAGTAAATATTCCTTATGTGTCACACATACAGAAAAACATATTTTCTTATCAGCTCACACAACAGCAGATCATGCAGAAATGATTTTTTAAAATTACTACTATTTTCCCTGCAGTAACAGCAATAGAACAATAAGTAACAGGCCTTGAACGGGTTCTGTCTATTTTACAGCACATGGATCTTTCCCCCTTTTTGGTCACAAAAGAAATAATAAAGGCGTTAAAACGTACGTTTCTTTTGAGAAAGTGTTGTATTGATTTTATGTAACATCTGAATGCTTTGTGTTGGAGATTACATATAACCATATAATTTGTCTATAACAAGAACTAGACCAAAAGACTTGCTCACTTAGCTGTACAAATGAGGCTTTCCTCATCAGTGATTCAAGACATAATAAAATACCCTGCTTTTTTAGTTCCCTCTGAGAGGTGAAAAAGCTCACTTGCAGAAGCAAGTATATTCCACTGAAAGAAAAGATGATTAATCATAGATTGGACCCATACTGAAAAGGAAGAATCCAGTTTGGATCCATGCCTTTGTGCCAAGATCATTTAGCCCTATCTCTAGTTTGGAGAGAATAAGGACTTTTTTGATTAACAACCCCAAAAACATCACTTTTATGGAACAAAGCTAGCAGCAGCCAATGCTGCCATTATTCCACCCCTGTTGAAGGACAAGGAGCTAATAAACAGGTTGTTCAGATATTTTCTAATAGCTGAAAATAGAAGTCATAGCCAATAAAAGCTGTAACAAAAAATTTTTCCCCAAAGTAATCAGGTCTTGCAGGAAAAGAGAATAGCTGCTGGTCTAGAAACAGAGATGGCAAATTTAGTATTAATGAAATCTTTCTGACTGAACTACGAGGTGCATAACATTGGCAGCTCTACCAAGCCCTCAGACATGTGTTTCATAAAAGACATATCTGGAGACCAAAGAGTCTTCCAGGAAGGACAAAA